TCAAAATAGCCTCCCGTTAGGAGGCCTCCTGGCCGAAATGGCCACGGCCATTCAGAGACATGATTCGTAGCAGGTACCTTCGATACCTGTACTGGGCACGACACCTTCGATGTCTAAGGGTATATTTAGCGAGCTAGCATACACTGTCGTACCGAAGGCACGATTGCGAATTTGGAGACCGGTAGACCTGACATGCATCATTCGCGGAGAAAAAAGTCTCAGTTCAGCGGGTGTCATGCCGCACGTGTTGAATGGAACACGCGCGTAAAATTGCGTAAAATTGCATGACTTTGGAAGATTTCCATTGGCAAGGACTCTGGGGACTCTAAGTCCCAATCGAAAAACTTGTGGTTGAGTGGGTGTTTGTCACAGTCCAGCCGGGCAAACAAAGCCTGCAAGTTTCGCCAGAAAAAGCACCCACACAATTTGCGCCGGAGGCATATTTTCCCATTTCGGTGGTCCTCTTCCTATATTATACTGTGCCATGAATCTGCAGGTGGGTCGATTGATGTCGCTTGTCTTTCCATGGCCAAGTGGCTTCTCTGGAGGCTGTCATGGTCGCCAGGCCATGCTTGTGAGCCGAGCCCAAAAGCGCAAGGAATTTCCACGCAGCTGTCATCATGCAACTATCATGCTTGAGGCGTACAAAGAACCAAGGTGATCCAGTCTTCCAGTCTTCGGCACATGCCTGGAGAGAATTCCCACCGGTCGCGGAGCATGATTGTTTCCTTGCACCTGCTTGAGGTGGTCCTGGTGAGGAATCAGAACGGAAAGCCTCATATTGCGTATCATTTTTCAATGCAACGGTTGCACTTCGCACGGGATGGTCCTGGGCCCTTGCAAGGAACTCTGCTTTCTCAAAGCAGCCGGTGTGCGAGACCTGAGGCAGGCTTGCGTCTGGGCGAAACGATTGGCATGAAGTGCGAGTGTTACTCTGGACTATGGCAACTTGATCGGTACCAGCGCAACCTGCAACAGCGAACCCGCACCCTCAAGCAGAAGTGCTGCCCGTCTCCATTTGTTCATGTGAGGTGGTTGTTGCTGGTTGTCGTGCCTAGCTTTGGCTGACTCGGGTCTGAGAGCATATCGGCTTGAAACGGGCGTTCAACGCATATCAACGCACATAGCGCCTGGCCTTTCACAGGGTGCTTGCCAAAGCACTGCCGGAAAACGTGGGCGAAGTGACACGTTTAGCGTTGTAGCAGAAGCAGATGGGCCTCCCTTCGGGCGTTCGGGCGGAACATGTCGGAACCAAGCTTCGACAGGAGGACCGGGCTTCCAGGGGGAGAACTTCGGCTCTCGGTTTTGATCGATCTTCACCTTTGCGCTTCCGAAGTTGAGGATCCTGCACCACGGACAGAGAGCCATGTTCTCAGCTCCTTTGCGCTGAGAGATCGCAGCTGATGCGCCTCCTTCCAACACAACTTCCGGCAGTTGCATTGGTGGATAAGCCTGCCATGTGGCCTCAGGTTCCCGCCTCTCCCTCCTCACTCGCGATATCCTTTTCCAGGTTGACAGACTCAGACTTGTGGTCTGACGCCTGCTAATGTAGCAACGCGGCCTTCTCACGTCTGCGTCTGAGCATAAGAGCTTGGCTCATGACCCTCAGGAATGGCCCGCATGCTGCCAAAGCTTCGACCACCTGGTAAACTCCGTGCGGAATCTAGGTAAAACAGACGCCACTTCTAAGTCTGCGGCATTGTCCGTATGTCTTCCCGAAACACACTTCCGGAAGCGCAGGCGGGCTGCTGGTAACTTCTCGCTCACCTTTCTTGTGTTGAATGGCTTGATAGAGCATGGCTGTAGCTACTGCAAGCCAATACCAACAGGACGTTCGCCTCCCCGTGTGCGAGGCTCACATCCTCAAGGGAGTAACCTTGCGACACGTGTCTTGATGATGCGACTAGTGGCTAGAGTCAGAGAGTAAAGATCTTCCCTGCTGGGGGCTCCCGGCTCACTGAGCTGCTTTGGAGCTCAGCCAGGACCTCTCGGAACAAGTCTGCTGGGGACCACGTCTCACGTTCACGGAAAAGAAACCACAAGAGCTGGCCTTCTTGATGAGAGCCACTTCCTGCTCCTGCAGCGGGACAATCCTGAAGCACAAAATGCAAGTGTGCTTCAACTCAGGGTTGTCTGCCAGAGATCGCCAGCAAGAAACCTCCAAAACATGGAGGGTGCTGTGGCCCCGACTCAGCGGCGGGGTAGACGCGCTTGAAGACGCTCTGCATGTCTGTTCCTGGATCTCTCAGTGAGCGCAGTATTGCGCAGTTCGGTCAAGCACAGAGTCTTCTGTGCCTGGAAATGCTTCGAGTACACGCACTGCACACCCAAGGCCGGCGATGTCAAGGCCTGCGCGCTTCCACACAAGAAGCTGACTAGAAGCTGCATCTGTTTTGCGGGATAGTCAGTGTCATGTTCCCAAATGGTGCGAGACTCTGCGAGATGCGAGCTCGCTCTGACCCCCAAGAAAGTTCTTCGGTCGCCGTCATCGTTCAACCTGTCCACCTCCGTCGACTTCAAAGCCTGATGAGTCTGGAGCATCCACTTTTCTGATTCCTGAAGCGATTGCATGGCATCGAAGCTGATGACTTCAGGCAATCAACTTCTCACAGGCAGTTGTTCGGTCGCTGTCACCGTTCAACCTGTCCACCTTCAGTTGACAAGAAGTGTCTGGAGCATCCTCTTCTCAGGCTCCAGAAGCGATTGCGTGGCATCGAAGCATCAAACGAAGCTGGGTCATGGGAATTCATACCATCAGGCCATTCAGATCTCATCACACGGAAACCCAACCACAGAGCTTGCTTGCATTGACGGAATGACCCCATGAGACATCATCGAGAGGCAAGCACGCAATCCAGCCTGGGATCTTGAGGGAGTCCAGATCACCTGGACGGAGGATCCGGGGCGCCCTTTGGAGTGCTCGGGCTTCGGGCTGCTCGTCAGGGGCCTTCTGCAAGGTCTTGCAACGTGGCCGCTGCAGCAAGCAGCCTGTCACTGGAATTCGCATAATGCGAATCTGCCGATGCTGCACACCTCTCCACGCTTGAGGTTGGCAGCGATGGTGCCAGCTGTGCAAGGGAGCCAACCAACCTGTTACAGGGCAGCACCACACGTGGCCAACAAGAGCGCCGAAGAAAGGCTCAGACTCCGAGGGTAGAGACGATGGAAGCTGCAGTGCCGCAAAGCGGGAGCGCAGCGGAGGATCCAAAGGATTTCCTGTGCAAGCGCCTATGCAAGAAGCTCCTCTGACAACGAAGCGGGCCTCGCTCCGGCATCCCCAGCGCCACTACCAAGAAGTCTTCGTGCACGGGCACAAGCTGCGAGAACTCCTGTTCGTGTTGTGAGGCACATCGCCGCGACCCAGAGGCTCCAAAATTCCCTGCTCCTTGTGGCTCCCGAACTGCGCACGCAGCTGCTTTGCTCGCTCTGGCGCCAGGAGGAAGCGCCTCCACTAGGATACCCGGATCGACCGAGACCCGTTGAGGCTTCAACGAAGACACACTTTCACGCTGCAGAAACACTACAGTCACGAAAGTGTGCCGCCTGTCCTCAAGCGACATCTCACGATTCTCAAGAAGATTGTTCCTGAGGCAATGTGTCCCAGGCAGAATATGTGCAGTCGCGGATTTGCAATCGGGCTACAGCAATGGAAGCACATTCCGCTCTGCTTTCTCGATTCCTTCGAGCCTCAGTTGTTTTACAAATTGCATCTGGTCTCCTGCCAAACACCTTCCGAACACTTGTCAAAATAATTAGTCTGGGCGACACTAAGACTCGACCGTGGATAGCTGCTCGCACAGGAGCTTGGTCAACGTACCTGCGACCGATGAGCTCGACGTCTGCATGCTTTTGAAAACGGATCCAACGGCGGCTCACTTCAGACTTCCGCTGCAAATCTCGCAGCGTTGCTTTAAGTCTGCCTCGCCTTGGAAGGCATAGGCGCAAAAGACATTGCTTCTCTGAAAATGCCACATCCGGATCAGCACCCTGGACATGCTCTTCTCTGGCCATTCCGCCTGTGTCCCTCGTGATGTCAACATACTCGACCTGATGGATGCACAGCTCTGGGCACGCAAGCTTGGTCTGTGTAGCACCTCGCGACGCAGCAGCTCGCAGAAGCGAAACACAGTGTGCCTGCGCAAGGAAGTGCTCAACAGAAGATTAGTGCACGGAGGCCACCGCAATCGCCCACCCGGATTCGGCAATCGAGCATGACTTGCCCGAACACAGGACGGGAAACTTCGGACACTGAACCTTAAGGACAAGAGCGAACCCAAGGCCCTAGACAAACCCCCCTGAGCCTTCACGACCGAACATCTTCAAACCCCTAAACACTCCACAAAAAACTCGACACCTAAAGGACCTCACCTTACACCCTACAACATCCCTGAACATTAACACCCGAAACCACATAAACAATAAATAAGCCCTAATACTGCAAAGCCCAAACACCCTTAACCCTCAAAATCCCCATCCTTGCTTCATCTCAGGTGCTGTTCGGTGATTGAACCGACTTCTGCCGAAGTCGACATGACTCGGGACTGTGTTCGATTCGGAGGTACTTGAAGCCTTCCTGCTTGAATCGCATGTACTTGCATCACGTGTGCTTGAACCAAGTGCTTGAATCGCGACCAGTGTGCAAATCGCGCTGTGACGGCCTAAGCAATGGTCCAGGCGGCCCCAGCAAGAACATATCCTGCCGCAGCAAGGCCTGAGCCGTGTGGCATCGCACTTGCGGGACAGACACTTGAAGATCCCACCTTTTGCATCATCCACCGGAGGGTGGCCAACTCTGAGGAGGGCAGGTCCCCACCCTGCAGGAACCAGCCAAGGAATGTCAAGCAGAGCCAATGTGGCCGAAGCCTCTCGATGCAAGCCACCGCGCCGAGGCGGCACAGTTGGAACCTGGATGCTGACTATGAAACAGAGCATGCTGACCTGCAACTCAGCCAAGGGGCCAAGGGGGTGAGGTTGTCTGACGCCGACATCGAAACATCGCCAATCGAAACGACCTGGGACTTTTTGACTCTCAGGGCTCAGACAACCTCACTGTGGGACCCACGCCCGTCGTTCACAGCTCATCATATTCCATTCAGGATGAGATGTGCTTTTTTCATCAGTCATACAGGAAACTACTGCTGACAATTCAAGTAGGCTGAAGTGACTCTCTGCTCCTTAACTGCAGGCTACCTGTTTCAACATCTCGAGACGAAATGGCCTAAGCAAGCCCGACAGCCTGGACCCAAAGCCGAGAAAGACTGCCAGGGTGAAGCGATCTGCTGCGCTTGCTGCATGACACATCTTTCAAAACGGCGCAGACAGGAGCAGACATGTCAGCTTGTTTCCCGGAGCCAGCCAAACTGCTTGAAGGCACATCTGCCGAGACCGGACGAGTCTCCGAAATCCGCTGAAAGGAGACGATCTTGAGGGTCTTTGGGGTGATCGGACATCAGAAACGTTCAGTGTCGATCTTCGCTTCTCGAGCGATCATGACGGTCGCGGAAAAGCAGAGAACTTCGATAGAGTAGCTCCTGCTCCGGATCTGGGGTGCAGCATGTCGTAGAGAGAACACACGCAGACCTACGCTATCCAGCACAGACTATCCTGCCTGGATGACTGCGATCAGGGCCACTGCGAACATGGGGGCTCCCAATGGCAAAGCTCGAGGTTGGCCCTTCTGCGCGACTGCTCGAAGCCACAAGCGGGTGAAGAGCTGCGGTGCGATCATTCGTCCCACGGCTCCGATGGCGGACATGACTCCCATGGCCTCGCGGCGACAAGTCAAGTGGTCACGCTCATGGGACAAGTTCCGTCTTTTCGGCAGCGCCTCCCCACGTGACAGGCCCAGCTGCACGGCTCGCTCAACGAAGCGTGTCAGCAGCACGGTGTTTCCACCTGCAGAAGGTCCAGGGCTTAAGACGTCAAGAGCCGGGTCAAGCTTTGCTGCCATTAGTGGCCCAGCGGCCTGTCCCAACGCTCAAGGGCAGCAGGCATGCGATCAGGCTAGGGCCAGTCTTGGATACGGCCCACGTCGCGTAGGCCACGCCGGTCAACAGGTTTGTGACACTGACATACAGCCTTTTGCCAAAGAACTGAATCAGTTCGCCTGCCAACATGGACCCACAGAACCCCGCCAAAGCATGTCCAGAAGCGAAGCGCCCTGCTTCTAGCGGGCCCCAATTCAGACGCTCCTTCATGAAAAGGATCGCCACCGAGTTCAGCGGTGCATAGTTCAGGAACTCATACATGCCCAGCACGCCCGCCAATAGGCAGCATTCCGGGTCTAACAGCAGTGTGGTGTAAGCACTCTTCTTCCCACCTCTGGCAGTCGGAGTTTTCGGGGATGTAGGCACAGATCCTGGCTCCCCTGAAGCTTTGCTATCCTTGACATCTCGGTTCGTTTCCGGCAGGCATGCCGAAGCAAAGGCCAAGGAAAGTAATGGTGCAGCTGCTGTGCAAAGATACGTGGAACGAGGACCTGCTCTCGCATTCCACCAACCAGACAGGTAGTTTCCCAGGATGTTGCCGAAGGCCTACAGACGAAACTAGCAAGCACATGGCATGAGCCTCGGGACTTTTGTCTCATGGCCTGAGATGCACCCAGTTGAGCTCGAGCTCTTGGCTGCTTATCGACAGGGTAGACATCGGTGATCATAGTTTGACACATGCCGATAAACGGCTGGATTCCTTGGATGCATCTTATCCCTTGTGCGATGCCAGCATCACGAAGAAGACAACAAGGCTGAACGGGCAAGGTTAAGCAAGGCACCAATAGCTCGTGCCGACGCAAAGTCCAGCCACCTTTGCTCTCTTGTTCACTCCATGCCCGAGCTTCTGCTTCCTTACCTGGCTATTTCCTCGCATGCAAGTAGAACATGCTCAAGAACAGACCGCATCAAAAGGATAAACCAAAGAAGATGACTAAAGCTGAGCGGCAGCAATCGTATTCTGGCCACAGGTTGCTCGACGAGCGCACACAGAGTGCGCATGATTGCTGGCCCGATCATGAAAAAAAGCAGGATCGGCTTTCTGCCAAAGCGATCAGACATCTTGCCAAACACTGGGCTTAAGAAAAACTCTGCTACGCTGCCAAGGGAATATGCGGTTGCCAGGCCACTGGTAGCCTGGACCACGGCAGCTTCCCCAAGTGGGCTCGCAGTCTGTGTAATGAGGAGCTGTCGCGCTTGTAGGGTGGCAACACCAGCGCAAGAGATCGCAGAAGCAGTGGCTCGCAGGATTCGCATGAAGTCCGGGTTATCGGCCAAGGCATTGCGGTTTCTGCTTCGCGATGCCATGGCCGCTGCAAATCAGGCCTCAAGCAAGAGCTAGCATGCTCTGTTTCTTTGTCGCTGGCGAAACCTTCATCTGCTGTGCCCGCTTCCGCCGAACATGATGCATCGATATATCGCCAGATGTCAAGTCCACTCCAAACGGCTTCAACGACGCCACAATGCGGCTGGTGGCACGGCGGGTGGCCCCGGTGGCTTGCCTGCATCCTGTATGCTAGGCACCTACCTGCTCCTTTTTGAGATGCTGAACCAGTGCGAATTCTGCAAGAAACTCCAGCAGGGCCTCACGCCCTACAGCATTGAAGTTGTTTTTGGAGGGCCTAGTGCCCTGCGGCCGCTTAGGACCATGCAAAAATGCTACGAAGGGCATCTCCCCTCTTCAAGCTCAGGAGTGCCACACCGTTAATTCTGTCGCACCAAGAAGGAGCTTTGGTGCAGAAGCTCCTGCGGAGGTGCAAAGAAGTGACAAGGTTGCAACACATTGGAAAAGCCGCAGGCTGCGGAACTGTCACACAAACCCTGCACAGCTGCCGCGGGATCCTGGATGATGGCGATCAGAGCCACAGATAGCATGGGTGCTCCCAGTGGCAAAGCTCCTGGTTGGCCTTTTTGGGCAGCGGCTCGCAGCCATAGGCGGGTGAAGAGCTGCGGTGCAAGCATCCGAGCCACCGCTCCGATGGCAGACCTCACTCCCATGGCCTCGGTATTTGAGGCGAGCTGTGTCCCGTAAACACTTCGCGCCTACCGCTGAGGTGTGTGCATACATTATCAATCCCCCCGTCTCCCGACTCTCAGCAAACTGTCTCCCGTTGCAATGTGGGCCAGAGCGCAATCACGATGTGTCACATACCGCTTGGTCGTACAAGTCCTGAACATAAGATATGCATGTCCAGTCTCACAGTCTCTAAGCTGTCTAAACCCAATCATGAGTGTGGCCAGGATACTTCGCCTGGTGACAGCCCAAGCTGCATAGCCCGCTCCATGTAACGGGTCACCAAGACGGTGGCTCCGCCTCGAAAGGTTCAAGATGGTTCAAGTTCGGCCATGCCTCTCTGTGAACAGAGTAACTGCCCAAACTGTGCTATTTCCTTCTGAAGCGCCCGTCCCGCTAAAGCTCAAGGGCAGCAGGCATGCGATCAGGCTAGGGCCAGTCTTGGACACGGCCCATGTCGCATAGGCCACACTCGTCAATAGGTTGGTGACGCTGACATACAGCCTTTTGCCAAAGAATTGCATTAATCTTCTTGCCAACATAGATGCGCAGAACCCCGCCAGAGCGTGTCCAGAAGCAAAGCGCCCTGCTTCCAGCGGGCCCCAATTTAGACGCTCCTTCATGAACAGGATCGCCACCGAGTTCAGCGGTGCATAGTTCAGGAACTCATAGAGGCCGAGCGCGCCACCGATCAGCAAGCTCTCCGGATCAAGAAGCAGGGTTCTGTAAGCACTCCTCGTTTTGCCGTCGGGGACACTGCAAGAGCTCTGCCCGTCCCTGGAAGGCCGTCCATCTTTGATCTCTGCGTTTGTCTCAGGCAAGCAAGCTGCAGCAAAGGCAAGGGAAAACAAGGGTGCAGCTGCTGTGCAGAGATAGGTCGACCTCGGGCCTGCCCGCAGGCTCCACCAACCAGACAAATAGTTTCCGAGAATGCCGCCCAAGGCCTGGCAATTACCATGGAAGGGAAGAAAGAGAGCGTCGAGAGCACCGAAAACATGCTCCCTGATTCGAAGGTACCTGTGAAGCAGCAAGCTGTGCTCTGGCAGCTGGCTGCTGGTCGACCGTGAACACATCCGTGATCATAGTGCCACACATTCCCAAAAAAGGTTGGATGCCTGCGAGTGGTCGCACTTCTGATAGCTACTTGACGCCACAAGTGACGGCAGATGATTGAACTCTTGACTAGGTCCTCTAGGTGAATCTCCTGCATGAGACATTCTAAAGACACCGACAAGTCGCCAACAGCCCGCGCCGATGCAAAGTCCAACCACCTGTGCTTCAAGCGCAATTGTTCACTTTGGCTCCATCGAACAATGTCATCGGGCAAACGCCACCCTGTCTACAACCCCGACCCGCACAGCCCTACAACCCGGCAGTCACAAGAAAAAAGCTGATGTAACTCGTCAAACGAGTCGTCCACCACAACAACAACAAAAGAAGCAAATGAAGATGACTGTAGATGACTGAAGCTAAGCGGCAGCAATCGTATTCTGGCCACAGGTTGCTCGACGAGCGCACACAGTGTGCGCATGATTGCTGGCCCGATCATGAAAAAAAGCAGGATCGGCTTTCTGCCAAAGCGATCAGACATCTTGCCAAACACTGGGCTTAAGAAAAACTCTGCTACGCTGCCAAGGGAATATGCGGTTGCCAGGCCACTGGTGGCCTGGACCACGGCAGCTTCCCCAAGTGGGCTCGCAGTCTGTGTAATGAGGAGCTGCCGCGCTTGTAGGGTGGCAACACCAGCGCAAGAGATCGCAGAAGCAGTGGCTCGCAGGGCGAGCAGGAAGTGCTGGTCTTGCGCCACATTGCAGCTGCTGCTTCGCGACACCATGGCCGATGCGATCGACTCTACTCACTATTCTCATCAAAGCAAATGCTGCAGGCAGAGCCAAAGGCACATTTCGGCAATTGTAGAGGCTGCTTTGAACACAATCCTTGTTTGAATAACAACTTTGGACCAATTACATAATTACATTATTAACACGCAGTCAGGATATCCCGCTCCGCCACGATGAGGCTATCATCATTCCATCGTTTCATGGAGTGACATCAATGTGCTTCTCTTTTCACAGCGGCGTAGCTTTCAGCGTAGCTACTCCTCCCAGCCACCACAACTGCATTCCTTTGGCTGTCGCCAACGCAGGCCAGTCAAGGCTTCGTGCCAGGATCGCCTCATCCGGCACCTGAAAGCTTTCTACGGCGTCGCGAGAGCCCATCAAAAGTCCACCCCGGCCTTCCAAGGCCAGAACACTCACCAACTCCCCTCCCCGCTTCGTCAGCTCGTTGCCAATTTCGGTGGTGCCCGAGACCTCAAGCTCGAAAGATTCTCCTTTCGGCGTCACGTGATCCAAGGAGATCCTCCGCTGGTGTCCAACACCGTAACCGCCTGCATCTCGATGTTCATTCAGCCGCACTGGGGCCATTGGCCGCGCCGGGACCGTGGCGGAACACCCCAGGAGCGAGCACTTCAAATGCCCGGTCATGTCATCCGGACCCTCCAGTGTGTGCTGGAAGAACTCGTAGTGCCACTTTTCCGGAATGACCTGATTCATAGCAGGCTCCACGGTGCCTGATCCTATGGACAGGCTTGCGCTGGTGTGCTTTTCGTGAACCAGTACCACTCCAGCTTCTGCTGGCAAGCGCTTCGCAATCTCAGTTTCTAATTGCGTTGCATTCCTTGCGGCTGCCATTACGGAAAACTCCTCCCGTCGTGCTGATGGACGAAATGTGACCTCAATCTCCACCGGATCCGCAGACCCGCTGCGGAGGTCAATCAGATAGATGCCTTGCCAAGTTCCCATGCTGAAGTTGCCCGATGAGCACGGCAGCGTTAAGGATTTGCGAAAGAGCAAGGACTGACCCGCACCTCAATCTATGAGCATGAGATAGCATGAGGAACTGCAAATCGCGACAAGGCCTACCTGGCCTGGAGGATGGAGTCGAGGGATCGCTGCGAGATGATCTGTGCGCACATCTGGGTCGGCATTTTCGTTCACACCTTGGGCCGATCTGCGGACGCGCACACAGACGCACATCCCTGTTCGCTGCTGCCGAGCTGCTGAAGGACACTCCATCAGCCGGGCTGACGATGCACAAGTTTGCTACCCCGGGTCCTGACAGATGTCAACTCATGTCAACTCTTGCTTCATAAATGGCAGTGGGTCACTGGCATTGCAACTTCACTCCTCGGCCCGTCCCTTTCAGCAGTGGAGCCGATTCAAGCAGCCTGGGCAGAAGAGGCGAATGGAGACGAGCAGAGGACACAAGGTCGTTCTCTTCCTTGCAAAGACAAGCCACTGAATACTGCCAGCTCGGGACACCAGCTGAATCAGGACCATGCTGACAACGGGGAAGGATCGTGCTGAGAAGAGTCTTGTAAACTGATAAATTAACCAACGCAAAGTAGTGACGTCGTTCCATGCATTGCAACTGTCGCGAATAGTAATCATGAGAAAAACATCTGGAGCCAATAGTTTCCAAATAACAAACTGAAGCTTTGGCCGGCACGACGTTTCGACCCTCTAGGCGAATTTCTGGCAAAGCATTGGACATTGGGGTTCCCTTCAAAAGAATTACATGCAGATCCGCGGAGCAGCAATGCTTTCAAAGGCTTTCGGAGGTTTTTTGAGTCCAAGCTGACCGCAGGCCGCCAACCACGAGCGGCCCAGCTTTGTGGAGAAGCGGATTGTGGCATTTGGAGCGCCCAAACTGCGCAGCTTCTCACGAAATCTCTTGCAGGTGAGGTCGGAGGGAGGCCGATACCCATGCGCAGCACCGGCATCCGTGGGATTGTAAGGAATCAGGTTGATGCCTGCACACTTGATCCGCTCCTCAGTGATAAGATTGGCTAAAGCAACTGCCTGCTCATCCCCATCATTCACATCACGAATGAGAATGTATTCGATAAGTACGCCAGTGCCGTTGGCCTCCTCAAACTGACGGACGGCAGAAAACACCTGTGGCAGCTTCCAGGACCTGGAAGCCACCGGAAGCAGCTCATCTCTCAGCTCTTGCGTGGGTGCATGGAGAGACAAGGCCAGATTCAGGCCTTGCGGAGCATCTTTTGCAAGCTTTCTTATTTGAGGTGCAACTCCCACCGTGGACAGAGTCACCTTGTGGCCCGAAGCACGGAGCATGCGAGCTGCTCCAAGCACGTTTCCATAGTTCAACAAGGGCTCTCCCATGCCCATGAAGACCACGTTACTCACTTTCTGACTACCTTCGCGCTGCAGCCATGCTTCCGCATGCAATACTTGTTCCAAGATAGCCCACTCTGGCAAGTTGATGCCAGCACCTGCCTGGCGGATTAAGCCTGTGTCACAGAAGCGACATGCCATAGCGCAGCTTCCTTGCGAAGAGACGCAAATTGTGCCCTGGAGCTCACCCGGTCGCATCTTTGAGACGATGACGGCGGTTTCAATCTGCATGGCACTGGGTAGGGAGATCAGCAGCTTGCCACCGCCAGAACTCAAACTGCCATCGCAGCGAAGCACTCGGCTTGCGAGTCCACAGCCCGTATTCCGAGTCGCTTCGAGCATCGGAGATGCAGGTCCGAGATCCAGAGCCAGGTTCCACGAGTCCTGGTTTCGCGAATAAAACTCCGCATGCCTAACCAGATGGTTCCAAACGCTGCGTTTGCTTCCGGATTCCGCATGCCCTGTGTCGAGCACGCTGGCCACAGACTCGAAGCTCCTGAGCTTACCTTGAACTAGTGACATTCCAGAGCTCGCACGCACCGTCGCTGGCGAGAAACGAAATACCATCATGAGATACTATGAGCTTGGGGCTTTGGACTGGGGATCTTTTGTGCAACATGTGCCTACACCTGCCTCCACTGTGGAATCTTCGCCGCGCCATGCTGGCATTGTGATTGGCAGCTCTAGCCCATGCTCTAGAAGCCCTGTAGTACGGTTGGATATTGCTCCTAAAGAGCCAATCAAATGGCTCAAACTGAAGAGAGCATTTCAGGATGGTTTATGTGATCAACAGCTTCACAGGTGCCCGGAAGCTGAGGTTGAAGCATGCACGCATTGCGAGCAACTGCTTGAATGCAGGCAAACTCGAACTTCCAGCTCGATGGCTATGACATCGCCTACATGTCCCGAAAAAGAAAACGCGTCTGATCTTTGGTAAAAGGAATCCGGCTCGCACGGCACTCTTGCACCTCCCGCACGTGAGCATACGTGTGAAAAGCCTAAACCCTAAAAGCAGCAAACCCGAAACGCCCCGCTATGATTCCTTCGCAGGAGCCCGACACAAGTTTCTTTAGGCCCAACAGATCCCGCTTGAAAATTCTCCAAGAACCACGCACAGGCACTTGTGGGTACAGCGCTGCGCGAGTGAAACCTCCCCCACGACTAGACCAAACGATCATTCTTGGCCCGCACCGACTGGCTTCCGCGCCCAGGGCGCGGAAGGGATACTGGATCTTCAAAGCAGAGCCCAGGGTGACTGCCCGATGCACATCCCGCTCCGAAGTCGCTGTCACAAAGAATCGGGCACAGTAGAAAAGCGAGTCAACACAGATGAACCCTTGCAGAGAGTATTGTCTCCTCCCAAGAATAACAAATTGCTCCTGACAACAGATCCCACCCAGTCAGGCACATGATCGGCCAGTTCGGTTCCAGCTTGCTACCAGTAACTGTAAGCCCAATTCGTCACAGGTACCATATCTGCTCGTTGCCAGGCTCCCCGTGGGAATATTACAACATGTTGCAATGTAGCCTAGCTTGCCTGTTTGGGGTATTGAGTTTGGGATTCAAGCTGTCAGGGATTTAATCTGCACACCCAAAAAAGTCTGCGAGACTACAGGCACGATTACTAAGTGGTGTCAACTGCAACTTCGTCTCTTTCACGCAGCTCTTAAGTCACTTAGTCTGCATAGTCAGAAGGAGACCTTTGTCAGGATCGAAGCCTTAGATTGAGCGAAAGCGCCGACAGTGATTCCCGCACACCAAGCTGCTGGACAACACACTGCAGGCATCTCAACTATAAGGGCGAGGCCTTTCTTCTGGACCTCGATTCTTAGTCCCCGTACGGCGATGCGGTCAAACCCTGACCACACACTCGACTCAGGTTTGCGGCTTCGTTAGCTGGACCTACTGCCACACGAAACATGCAACCGGTAAAGGGTCCTGGTGCGAACAGGAACATGGGGAGAAAGCCCAACAGCGGCTTCTCGTCCGGATGTCTGAAGACATGAACAAATACTCCTGCCACGAAAGCAGGTGGAGGTAAAGGCAGTCGAGACTGTCAAAGCTTACAGCCCCACCTGTCGGAAGGAAATCCGCGACTTGGCCTTGGAACGTGATGCCTGTCGGCAGTTTCTCCAGCATCTCTGGATCCCGGTTCACGTCCTGACAGGACTCGATCTGCAAGACTGTCCATTGCCGCACAAACTTTCATCCTGCATGAGTCTACCCTGTGCGCAGCATTGCACAAACTTGCTCCTCTGTGAGATGCTGAACACGAAATTTCCTTGCAGTCGGCCTACATCATGCTCGGACCGACACCTGCTTCTGAAGACGGGGAGGTCGGGTGAGATCCCCGGAACGTTGCGTGAGAAAGATCGCGCCGTTCTCTCCCACCTCCCGACAAGAGAGGGGCATCTCTGCTTCCGTAAACAGCTCGCAGGTCAAGGCGCAGGCCCTGCTCATTCCGGCCTCTAGAACACGTGATTCCACCCGATGCTGCCTTATGAAGATCGCCTGTCAGAGACGGACAAGACAGGGAGGACCTGAGCAGACCACGTCTGGCACCGCACCTTGAGGGCCCTTCCAGGGAAACCATCTTCGATTTCGCTCAACTCGAGCCGGGCATCCCTCAGAGACATGAGAAGAGCGCTTGTGCGGAGCGGAAGCGGAGCACGGCAGTGCGCAAGCTCTGCTCATTGCTGCAGACACGACGGGGCCGAGGATCCGCTCCGTGCCAATATCAACGAAGACAAAGCTGCGCCAGACATCCCTGACGGAATGCAAAGCTGCACAGACGGGCCGCGAATGCAAGCCTCATGAACATGCAACTTCTCGTTTCGTGCCTGACGAAGCCCGAAACCAGATCCCCAACCTTCCACAGGCTCTCAGTCTCCAACAAGCTCGGAAACGAAGGATTAGGCTGGGGGCCTGCACTTTCTTCCGGCCGTTGGCCAACTTAACTTCCAAGCCCACCACTTCCAAGCCCTCCCAGATTTCACTTCTCCACGGACAGACAGTGCTCGCAGAGTTCTGCTCGTGAAATCCGCACACCTGGCCTTGGGTTCAGGAGCCTTCTGTTTGGTGGGCACCGGCGGCAGCTCTTCCGCCGCAACGGGCCTGAGGCGCAGAGTCTGGGGAGCTGAAAGCTCAGCAAGCGGCACATGTCAGCCCACATGCCCAAGGCAAAGAGATTCACCGAAAGCGCGGCCACGTGGCCATGAGAAGCCTCTTGGCCCTACCAGGGAAATCGCGCAGAGTGCGAGGGTGGCTGCTACGCCACACCGGCACCGGGCTTTGGCGCGCATGGCAAAGGCCCAACGTTGTTCGGTATAAACTGACGCCGGTCGGTTTAACAGATGGTAGAGTCTTACCCTGCAACAACTATCCATTCGGTGATGCCTGACACACTGACATGGTGGTTGTCAGGACTGGTTTGGTGGTTGATGTCGCTTCCGACTTGTTTTTGCAGTCTGAACTTCTGAGCCATGAAGCAAACACCAAGGTAAAAGTGACAGAGTGCTCATGTCAACATTGGACGCGGCTTCATGTGGAGTTGTTTATCCTTTCTAAAGTTCTCACTTGTGAAGTCTGTCAGGGTTACCCTCACGCGCAAACTTTGCTTTGCACCGTGGCTTCGCTTCCCCACTGCCTTTGCAGCTCTGATGGCTGCCGATGCACCCCATCTGGAATTTGCCCCATTCCACACCCAGCCGAGACGCTCATATCAGTCTGCGGCAAGCATGTCTGAAATGTATAGAAATGTGGGGTATAGGTTTCCCGATCTAAACGATGCAGGATCAACGGTGACCTTAAACCGGAGCGAATGCCCTGCATTCACCAGTTCGGGCGCTGAACCAGCTTTGCTGGATGTTCTCTCTCCGTCGCGAGCAGCTACTGTTGGAGTGTGCCAAGCAGCGGTGTTCCGAAGATTGCGCCAAACATTTGTCCACAGTCAATGAAGTGCTGACCTTGCAGCTTAGCAAGCGGGAGACCTGACAACGAAAGCAGCGGCCGAAAGTGCCCGGCAGCCAATTTTCATCCACGCGTCCGCATCCTCGGCCATGGAGCCGCATAGCCCGCAAACGACTCAACACAGATCGATCGTTCTTACGAACGGCAACCGAGGCCTTCTTCATCCTTGCAAGCGCAGTTTGGAGAGCTGCATCCTGCTTAAGCTGCATTCAGGAACTTGGCTTCCCACGGCTTGCAGGAAAACTTGAGCAGGAATGCACTTCACAATCTGCATCCTCCGCTGCTGTCTGGAGACTAGCCGATTCACAAAGATGGGCTGCAAACTGCAGCTCTTTCTTGACCTCCAGGAGCTCATGTCGAGCAATCTCGTGCTCATGTGCGAGCGGGTTGCCGAGCAAGGCAGGATACTGTGGCCGCAACTGTTTGCTCACTGACCAAGTTATCGCCTTTGTTTGCTCGGCGCGTCTTCTCCTCGGACCGACCAATGATGCGAATGCAGTTCCGCTACAATACTGGGAAATCGCACAGGAAGCTCGGGCTTGGTTTCACCGATACTGCCATGCGTCTGTTCCGGCAACTTGGTCAGCGGGTTGCACCCATCCTCGGCCAAGGACACTGCAATCACTGAAAACTCAGTTCAATCGGCCCTCCGAACAAGAGTCTCCTGTTGCCCGCATGACTCAGCTCCGAACCTTCACAGTGCTGCTTCACCAACTGCCTGTACTACATCGAAGGTACTCACAGGCGGCAGATTTGTGAACTCGAGACTCTCCGAAAGCACGGGCCTGAGCTGCCTATGCCACTGATTGCGAGCCACGCCAGGCTGAATCTGATCAGAGACAGCACGGTTTCGACAATGCAGACGTGAGGGAACTCCAGTGCCTGAGCCTGGCAATGTTTGCAAGTAAAGGGAGGAGCCTCTCAAATTACAGCCCTACACAACCACTTCTCGCCTACTCTCGCAAACACTCTGCCTGCTTCGGCTCTTCACTTGTAGATGGAGTAAGTAGCCTTGGACAAACTGGGATGCAACTTCCAACGGGCTTTCGCAAAAGAAGATACCGGGATCAGATTAGCTGCGCTCACTGACAAAGAAGCAGCACCGGCAAACCTGCTGTGGCACTGTCCTCATTTCCTCAAAACAACGTTTCCGGCCCAGCAACACACGGATTTCCTGCTCAACATTTGCAAGTTCTGCGCTCAGAGTAAACCCATTCCAGGAGCCCTGAGGCTCCCAAGACCACAATGTGCCCTGCAGGATTTGGCCCGCCGGAACATGCCCCGCACTGAGACAGCAACACGAGTTACGTGTGCGGGACTCAGGCGGGAACTTGTGATGGCCCCATGGACCCGCCCCGGCAAGAGTCGAGACAGGCCAGACAACTACTTGCAGGTTTCACTCTTATGCATTTCCGGACTCCTGTCATGCTCAACTTGAGACGAAACACAGCCACACCACACGGATTAAGTAGGCACTTACCATCTGCAAAGTCTGCAAAGCATTATTCCAAATCAGTCGGTGATCACCAACAGCTCAACACTTACTGCCCTAAAGCCCGTGTCCTCGCCATGATCTGATTATATTTTGCCCGCAAAATCTGCACGTTCCCATGTACGTGCTTGCATCAGTTTTGTACAGTGATACACCAGCAAATTTAGGTGACAAAACATTTAACACTGGTGTCTCTATTTTGTGAGTTTCCGTTGCCACTTCAACCCGTTTTGTTGTCCCGACCATTATCCTGATGGTAAATATCTGTACAAGTCGCAACGCCGATAAGGATTTTAAGGACAAATTCTGACATTGCATCGAAAACAACAGGGACTTTGGTAGCACATGGAACCAAAAAAGTGAAGACTTTCAAGTACGTACTGGTAGCAGCGTGTGGGGACGTGGGGCTTTCACAGCGATCATCTCGCACTGTGTAAACTGTCTCGGCCACACACAGGAGAAAGAGAGGACCGTTTATGACCGTTTAGTGAAGTTAGTGTAGACCCCAGACAGTGCAAGAGCACCTAGCAGACCTAGCAGACCCGAGAGCTTGTAGAACTACTCCGGAAGCATCCCAAGATCACTCCATGAGCCCAAGATGCACCAAAAAGCGGCAGCAGGAGCACGAGACAGAACCCACCCCAAAATGTAGCGGAACGATGTTGGAGGGGAAGCATGAGTCGTAAGCAAAGCGCATTTTTTCGGAGATTCGAGGATGAGCTTATAACATTTCGGAACCGAACTCAGCGGGGGTGAGCTAGTGTTTGCAAGTCGACCCAAGCCGAACCAAGCCAAGCCAAGCCAGAACTCTTTTCGCAACGCTATCCAACAGATAACCATTTCCGGTACCCGAAACCGAGAAAGAAATCCCTCAACCCCATCCCGTGAACAAGCCAAAAAAAACAAAAGCAAAACAAACCCTGCACAAAACAATGGCCCTAAACATCCCTGTAAACCCTGCCCAAGTCCCGAATCTCCAAAACCCGTACAGTAAATTCTTGCCCTCAAACCCAACCCCTGCACGACTCATGCGCACAAAGAAGCCCAAACAAGCCGTAGCAAGCCCAGCCAAGCCGTTTTATGTCCCAACGACTTGTAGACTGATCAACAGCGCCCCCTTTCAAACAGATGCCTCTTCAATATCCAAGACATCCTCCAAAATCACGCACAGCGTCACAAGCACTGACGCATGAACAGGTAGTGTCTGATCGTCTCAGTTGTTCTTTTGGCGCCCACATCCGGAGAGCGTCTCGTGAAATTTTTCCACAGGTACAACAGAACCTCCAACCTCCAAGGGTCTCGGGCCGCAGCCGCTGCCAAGGTGTTGTGCCACCGCCTGGCCATCGGCATCGGCTCGATTTTAGTCGCGGCCGTGGCCACGCGCTGGGGTCTTGGCACTTCTTGCACTTCACTCCGTCGAGGATGGAACTAAAGCTTTTGTAGCGAAGCGAACGATCCTGCAGGAAGATGCCAAGCACAGAGGCGGTAATATGAGACGCAGCTGAGCAGCAAGCGAAGAGTGCGTTTGGATCCGCGTCCATGTACTGCCAAGAGTCACGATGTCCGGTTGCTTTCCATCATGCAAGCATTGCACGTAGAGTCTGCTTTACAATACTCCCGGCACGCTCAAGCAAGCCTGTGAGAGGAAATCCAAGCCCTCACCTGGATCTCTGCGAGAGCTATGGAAGCCATAGCATCGGAAGCCACACTAAGATATGGACACTGGTTATGTTGCACATCTACAAGCACCTCTTAAGGCAATGGCCCTCCTCGTGCTGCACTACCTGCATAAGCGCAGTTGTGCCACAGTCACTCCTTCGCCAAGAAACTCGCTCTTTCTTTAACCTCTCAGATGCCTGGGCAAAGGTGGCAGCATCCATACCTCCCAACGATGGCTCAGACAATGCTGCTGCAAAGCTGGCCGCGAAAGGAAAGCACATCCAGGCGAAACGGCCTAGACATTCGGCGATTCTGCCAGGGCTTGTGCCCTCCACGACTCCCAAAATCCGGGCAATTATGGGATGCACCTTGCACCATCATGCCGATGCGGCACATGAGCTCTGCAGGGGTAGTAACAGGCCTGGTGCTTCTTGTACCACGCCATGTCCAAGCGTAAAGTCGGATCCTGACACTCCCAAGAGCAGTCGGTGTGTGCAGACAACGCGCCCGGTCCAGCTGCATTTCGTGAGGGTCTCGAGCACGCTCTGCGAGCAAGGACTTGCCCTCACCTTCACCTTCCAAAAGACAAGAAGGGCACCATGGAGCATGCGAGAGCTGATATGAGAGCGAAGTCAAGCGAATCTCCAACCTGAGGTGTCACAAACCACGTAGCCGATCTCCTGCCCGGGTCGAACCTGGACGCTGCTATGCTGCCATGTCGTACCCACATACTCAAGCAATGGACGGCTTAGCGGGTGGCCTGCTTGCCGCGCGAGAGCAATCGCAGCGCCACCTTGAGAGGACCGGGACCAAAATAGAGAAAGATTCTGCAAGCGGAGATACATTCAGAATGCCTAGGATGCAGTTAGTTGTACCAGCTCTTCCCTCTTTGTAGGTCGTGGTTGTCGGAGGTCTTGTCAGCAAGATGTAGGGTGAGTTCGGACAAGAACTTCGATAGGCTACGAGTCATGACACGTCCCGGTCCCGGCTGCAGTACAGTGTATGCCGGCTGGTTAGGCTACACTTCGGGACGTACCCTTGCACAACCTGTCGCGGCCTCTAGATTCTGCGGGAGGGAATTCAGCAGGACTCATGCCTTATGGCAAAACTGGAAAAACGTTGGCATTGTCCAGGTAAAAGTTTTTGTTGCAGTGTCCGCGGGCGTGGCGGGCGGCGGGCCGCCGCGGGCCGCGGGCCACGGGGCGCGGGGCCGCGGGCCGTGGGTGCGGCAAGGCCGAAGTACACCTTTCACTTCCTGAACTCTCATGCCTAAACCCCTTAACCCCAAGCCCTTAACCATCAAACCACTAAACCACCGAACCCCTAAACCCTCTGTTCCAGTGCCAGGCCGATTATCCATCGCGAACTTCAGCCAAAGTTTGTAGGAAAATCACAGGGGTGAGGCAGCCCCAATCCCAAAATTCAAAAACACCGAAACCCTTGGGGTTTAGGGATAATGGATTGGAAACCCGAAACCCTCAAAGGATATGTTGGGTTGACCCAAAGCCTGCAAAGAAGCTGCTCGCCGTGGGTGGGGCAAGGCTGCGGGGGGCCGCGGGGCCGTGCGCGGCCGCGGGCCACGAAACCCGAAACGGAGATGTTGGTTGACCCAAAACCTGCAAAGAAACTGCTATTGACAATCCCCAAACCCTAAAAGGAGGTCCCCTGCCTGGCTGATTCACTGGAGTGCTCCCTGGAGGCTTGCATTGCTGGAGCCGGGCGAGAACCCCTGGCTTTTTCCGGTGAAGAACTGGAGCTTTCAGACCTTGCCTCGGCTCGGTTGGGAACCGTAGCCTTGGCCTTGCTCTTGACTGCAGTGCCCTTGGGCTTAGGAGGCCCTGACGGCTCCGCTGGAGTTCGACGGTCGGGCGGGGTTCGCGACCGAAGTCGCACGCCAGGCCCTTCTTCTGACTCCCCCGGTTGAAACCAAAACAAAAAGAATGGTTGGGAACCTCCAAACCCTAAAAGAAGATGTTGGTTGACCCCAAGCGTGCAAAGCTGCTATTGACAAACCCCAAACCCCAGAAAAACTGAAACCCCAAATTCAAGGAACGGCTGGGAGGCCCCAAACCCCGAAAAGTGATGTTGTTTGAGGCAAAACCTGCAAATAAGCTGCTATTGACAAACCCCATATCTGAACAGGAGATGCTGAGACCCTAAACGAAAGGAATGGTTGGGAAGCCCCAAACCCTAAATGCGATGTTGGTTCACCAGAAGCCTGCAAAGAAGCTGCTACTGACCGACCCCAAACCCTAAAAGGAGATGTTGAAGCCTTCAATCTAAACAAAAGGAATGGTTGGAAAACCCCAAACACTAAAAGGCGATGTGGGTTCACCCAATGCCAGCAAAGAAGCTGCTCACCGCGGGTGGGGCAAGGCTGCAGGGGCGCGTGGCCGCGCGCGGCCGCGGGCCACGAAACCCGAAACGGAGATGTTGGTTGACCCAAAACCTGCAAAGAAGCTGCTATTGACAATCCCCAAACCTTAAACGGAGGTGTTGAAACCAAAACGAAAAGAATGGTTGGGAACCTCCAAACCCTAAAAGAAGATGTTGGTTGACCCCAAGCGTGCAAAGCTGCTATTGACAAACCCCAAACCCCAGAAAAACTGAAACCCCAAATTCAAGGAATGGTTGGGAGGCCCCAAACCCCGAAAGGAGATGTTGCTTGAGCCAAGCTTGCAAAGAAGCTGCTATTGACAAACCCCATATCTTAACAGGAGATGCTGATACCCTAAACGAAAGGAGTGGTTGGGAAGCCCCAAGCCCTAAATGCGATGTTGGTTCACCACAAGCCTGCAAAGAAGCTGCTATTGACAAACCCCAAACCCTAAAAGGAGATGTTGAAACCTTAAACCTAAACAAGCAGAGTGGTTGGGAAACCCCAAACACTAAAAGGCGATGTTGGTTGACCAGCCCCAAACTCCTGAACTTTAAACAAAAGGAATGATTGGGAAATCCCAGGCCCTAAAAGGAGATGTTGGTTGACCCAAAACCTGCAAGGAAGCTGCTGTTGACAAACCTCAGACCGCCCAAACCCTACAAGGAGATGAAAAGGAATGATTGGGAAACCCCAGGCCTTAAAAGGCGATGTTGGTTGACCTAAAACCTGCAAAGAAGCTGCTGTTACCTCAAACCGCCCAAACCTTAAAACGAGATGCTCAAACCCCAAACAAAAGGAATGGTTGGAAAACTCCAAACACTAAACAAAAGGAGTGGTTGGAAAGCCCCAAACCCTAAATGCGATGTTGGTTCACCACAAGCCTGCAAAGAAGCTGCTATTGACAGACCCCAAACCCTAAAAGGAGATGTTGAACCTTAAACCTAAACAAAAAGAGTGGTTGGGAAACCCAACACTAGAGGAAGATATAGGAAGATGTTGGTTGACCAACAATAAGCTCTAAAATGTGATGTTGAAACCCTGATCCCTAAACACAAGCGCGCGGCGCAGAAAAGAAAACACCCCGGAAGCAAAACCTGGCAGTGGAGGGTTGAGGCAAGTGTAGAAAAGTGTGACAGGCGCAGTGAAATCGCATGTTTTGACCTACCCCAGCAGTCGTGTAGCAGAAACAAAGCGGGTCACGATTTGTTGGGCGACATCCTGCTGCGCA